CACTTATTTTCAGGGGCCTCCAAGGCTATGAACGCCCACTGCTTACGGGCATGAGCTTGGCTGGCAACACTGTCTTCACGATGGATCTCGAGCCAGATGGCGAAGACGGGTTTGACGTGCAAGTGGTTCATCAAATGGTTGCCGAAGCGTTAGGAGAAAAAGCTGATGCTATCAGCCTGTTGAAATATGGGGAACAGCTTCCTCCGTCACAGAATCTCGTCTTTCAGCTTCAACATTCTTGCTTTCAAGCTTGGGTCCGTGCTGCAGACATCATGTAGATGAACCAAAGCTGCGTAGCATGCGGACCAGCTTGAGCTCGTGCATGCACTACACAGCACTCATGGCCTCCCTGAGGCACATCTCGAGCTTCAACGATGTGATGCTGAGGCGAAGTTGTACTCCCAAGCCACCAAGATTATTGTAGCGCATTCAGCAGCTCCAACAGCGACTGCGTTATCATGCTGCCAGACGAGTAGGCTGAAGTTCTTACGCTCGCACAAAGACTCCCCGAAATTGATCTTGTTCAGAAGCGGATCTGGGCCGTTGTTATTCGTGGTGGGATGACGTGGGATGTGGTGGGCCAGCAGCTAACTCGAAGAGCTTGGCAGAAGAGGCATTCAAAACTCTTGGTCATGCGCATGCGGTTCAAGTTTAGCCGCTGCCTAGCACACTTTCAAGCTGGGCACTTGGTAAGCAACAATACAATGCTGGCTGGAGTCATGAAACAACAACGCCATGCGGTGGAATGGACTCGGATAGCATCACCACGCGCGTTGAGATGAATGGCTTGTCACCGTTGCGCGTGTGACGTAAATGTCATGGCCTTTTTGTGGTTTTGACCTTGACAAGCAAGAATACTGTTCTCGTTGCAAGTGCAGGCTTGCAGTCGACTTGGAGCCCGTGTTCATGTGCAGGCGCGGTGATCGCGACTTGTCTTTACCAGCATACTTTTCACCTCGGGTCTTGAACAAATCGGGCGCAGCTCGAGGTCTGTCGCCTGTGAGGGCTTAGTCGAGAATTCAATCGCTCCTGGCACGCCAAGGCCGCTACGTTGAAACTGAGCTGGGAGAAGCTGCCGTTGACATTGACGAGAATCGGCTTTTTGGCTCTGGAAACGGTCTCGTGCAGGCGATACAAGAGCGACGCGCTCCTTGGCAATCAGCACCTGCTGGCAAACTTGTGCACTCTACTGTAGTGGGGCCAATGCATCGAACAGAGTTCGGCTTACTCGTACGCAAAGACTGAGAGGAGTCGAAAAGAAGGCACGAAAGTCTTGTTGCTGTAAGGGGTTATCGTCCACCGCGACTGGACCTTCCAGCCGGCATTGTCCCAACACGCAATCACATCCTAGGGTCGAACCTCCCTGGCATGTCAACACAGATGCTGTAAGGAATTGGTGACAGGGCGACCGGTCGACGTCTGGCTCGTGTACACCAAGCTGGAGGCAAGCGTGGACAATTCTAAGATGTCATAATGGGCTCATGACCTCAGCTTCATGAAGTCATAGTCAACTTAGTTCTCTATCGAGGCACTTTCACACTTTGAATGCCCGCAACCGCAGCTTCCAGCATGATCAGGTCTAGGCCAGCATGGCCAGGTAGTGGTCCCTGATTTGGGAGCATCTTGCATTTGAAGCAGTGCCGTGGGCGTGGGAGGTGTTCATGTACGGCCGACCACGCAGACCACGCCAAGACCTGCTGCATGCAGTGGGCGTATTTCCGCAAGCTCCGACGTGGAAGCTGCCACCTGCGTCCAAGCGCTGGGGTCTTTAGGCAGCACACAGCTGCACCAAGCAGTAATGATGATAGAATGCTGCCAGGTGAAGAGGTGCCAACTCTGGAGTTCTCATAGCGTGTGGGCCAGTACATTGAAATGCCGACCCCTCCACCACCCTGTAGGCATTCAAAAACGAGATATTTGCTGTGCCTTTTTGGCGTTTTCCATTAAAAGAAGAGGCGCATGCAACAATTGTGCATCCCCGCTTGAGCCAGGCACCCGCTGTGATGTTTGGAGCTGCGAGCTCAACCTTCCAAAGGTCAAAGACATGTTGGACAACCATGCCCAACTTACAGCTGACAGGCACGTTGTGGGCAATGTGTGTGTGTGGGTGTTGGGCCTTCATTGCTTGGCCGTGCGACCAATGACTGCAGCAGGCCCATCCCACGATATCAGATGATTGTCGATCCGAACCGGTTTCGGCCTCAGCAGTGAGCCAGACTCCGCGAACCCATGGAGTGGGGGAGGCTGAAGATTGAAGGGGCATGGAAGGGCCCCCCTCTTGTTCAGTGCCATGTAGACCAAGTCCTGTCAAGACTTCAGGTTTGTCGTGGACACCAACGGACCGTGCTGGGTTCCGTGCGAATTCGACATTGATGCTGACGGGTCAGCGCGGCTTATTGGTGGAGTCCGGAGCCATCGGTTTCCACAGCTTGCCGAACAGGCGTTTGTCCCGTGATTTCTCCTCGCACTTTTTCTCTTTGTTTTTCTTTCTTTCCTTCCCTTCCTTTCTTTCTCCATCACGAGCGCCAACACCATCTCCAGCTTTCGTTGGCCTGCTGCTAGTCCCTCAAGCTTTGTCATCTGTTCCGGGCCTCTGGTTGTAGGTTGCGACACCAATCCTCACTGCAGCCCTCCCGCTTTTGGCCAAGCTCCGGCGGCCACAGCTGCTGCTGCCAGGGAGAAGGCTGGACTAGTTCTGAGTCACGCTCGGCCCACATAGACACTGGCTATGGCGTTGTGGTCTGACGGTTGCTCATCTGACAGGCTGCAAGCTGTCTTCAAAGCTCAGCGTGGCTGGGACTCTTGTAGAGTCAGATCCCAGTGCCAGGTTGCGACAGCAACTCCTCATGTTTCGTTAGAGTCTAGTGGAGTTGCTGAGGAATCATTCTTCCTCCAGCCCGAAGTGAAGATGATGAATCCGAATATATTGGCCTCTGGCATGTAGACGGGCACCGGGAGGATGTCGTCGCGGTAGTGTTATACTATTATCACGTCGATGCTTCCCTGAGGGGCGGGGACATGGAGTTTTGCGGGCGGGAGCCCCTGGACGTGCTTGGAATCGGGGATTGTGACAACAATGCCAGTCGTTTCGACCGAAAGAGGATATCCAGAGCATTTCGAGGTGGCAACGGCAAAGAGCAAATCGTGGAAAACTGTCGAGTGCCGATTAAGCAAGGCTCCTTGGTGGCTTTTGAACGTTGTTTTTTATGGTTCAATGACTCTGGCTGCAGCTTGAACTCTTTCCCGACTGCGTAGCTATGACAGTTCGGGGTATGGGGATTGGGGCATTGACGTCAAATCGTTGCCTCAACGTCCGCGGTGGTTTCGGAAGCCCGCATGCATCGTTTTGGCATCGCTTTGCGTCAAGGGGTCGAAGCTGTCCTGAACAACACGCGGGCCAAGAGGCATTGGGAATCAGCTTCTCTAAAGTCCAACCCAGGGCCCCAAGTGGCTTTCTCCCACAGTTTGCCAGTGCAGAAGCCGGGAAGACACCTTCCCTCCCAAAATTGCAATGTGCCCCTATAATCAGTGAAATTCACTTCTAGCCCTGTCGAGAAAAATCAAGAGTCGACGTTTTTGAAGTTGAATTCCGGACGGTATCGACGGGCCTATTCAAAATTCGCACAGGACCGCAGGGTCTATGACAGATAGTTTCAGGCCCCATTTAAACGTTTTCTGAGCAACACACAGTACTGCACAAGGATGTGGAACAAGACACGCTGTCACAAGTGCCCATGCCTTTGGCGAACATGCCCGGCTTTTACAGTGTTTTTGCTTTTTCACAGCATACTGCGCAAGGATGGATACAGAGACCCGGGGAAGTGGGTCCCCTTTTCCGAGGGGGAACGAAGACGAAATCCGAAGACGAAATTTGAAGACGAAATGCGGCCCAGCCGAAATTAGGCCCTGAAGACGAAATTCGGCACTGAAGACGAAATTCGGCCCCTGAAGCCGAAATTTGGCCCTGAAGCCTAAATTGGGCCCTTGAAGCCGAAATTCGGCCCCGAAGACGAAATTCGGCCCCGAAGGCGACATTCGGCCGCTGAAGACGAAATTCGGCCCTGAAGCCGAAATTCGGCTCCCGAAGACGAAATTCGGGCCGGAAGCCTAAATTCAGCCCTGAAGACGAAATTCGGCCCTGAAGCCGAAATTCGGCTCCTGAAGACGAAATTCGGCCCCGAAAACGAAATTCAGGGCCATTTTATGCAGGCCTAAGGGGGACCGAAACCGAATTCAAGCTTCAGGCCGAATTTCGTCTTCGGGACTGAATTTCTGAATTTCGTCTTCAGGAGCCGAATTTCGGCTTCAGGGCCGAATTTCGTCTTCAGGAGCCGAATTTGGGCTTCCGGCCCGAATTTCGTCTTCAGGAGCCGAATTTCGGCTTCAGGGCCGAATTTCGTCTTCAGCGGCCGAATTTCGTCTTCGGGGCCGAATTTCGTCTTCGGGGCCGAATTTCGGCTTCAAGGGCCGAATTTAGGCTTCAGGGGCCGAATTTCGTCTTCAGTGCCGAATTTCGTCTTCAGGGCCTAATGTCGGCTGGGCCGAATTTCGTCTTCAAATTTCGTCTTCGAATTTCGTCTTCGCCCCCCCCCCCCCCCCCGGAAAAGGGGACCCAGTTTCCCGGGTCAATGGATATTTGACATGTCTCGAGAACAAGACACGCTGTCACGAGCGCGCATACCTTTTGGTGAACATGTGGAAAGACAGGTGTTTGCAGCGCTTTTGCCTTTCTGCTCATGTTTGGAACAAAACGTGGCAAGCTTCAACGAACCCCGCGGTGCTACAGTTCGAAGCCCAGCCCGTTTAAGAAGATTCTCTTGTCAGGGCAACGAGAAGCGGTGCCATCTATGCATCAGTTCAGTTTTTCTGTTGCGGGGGAAGCCAGTCTGAGGGACGCTCCTGGTATTCTCAAACTACCAGATGGTTCACCGCGTTCTGCGGCTTCTCAATACCTCGCCAGCAGAGGCGCTTGCTGTTGTTTTTGACATGACTTTTTTTTGCAGAGTTTGTTCGTTTGTTTGCCTTGTTTGCTTTGTTTGCGTGCTTGAAAGACACAGGCAAATCACGATTCGGGGGGCGGTTGAAGACAGAGAGAACCGAGGAGTCAAACGAGGCCAACGCAGATCCGGAGTTTGTTCAGCACCCGACATGCCAAACGACTTAAATCAGCTTCAACCCACCACACTTGGAAAACGTTCGAAGTCACACCAGCTGCTGAGCATTGCTCAGCCCTCCACGAGCATCAAGAAAAGTCACTCTTTCTGGAGTCGGTTCCAGGCCTGTTCGAGGCATAGGCATGTGCCGCTCAGTCGGTAGGTCAGGACACGTCAATCAACGGGCGCGATCATGTATTTGTTTCTTTGGCTTTTCTGGAGACATTTCACCTGGCCAGAGGCCTCACGCGACTTCGTCGCCCTCTTTATCCTCAATCCGGCCCAAAACCTTGTGCCGGCACGATGCGCCCTTGCCAGACCATATGTGTTGCAGAGAACATTGCAATCCAAACACATTGGACCAACCGATGCTCGACGAGTTCTCGAGTTCGCCGGAGAGTTGCTGAGCTGTGAAAGCGAAGAACATCGCCGTGACGCAATGCTGCTTGAACAACTGCAGCCATCTGGAAAATTTGCACCTCGTCCTCACGTATCTTCAAGATTCTTCAAGCGCAAAGCCTCATCATGAGTTCTCGAGCTTCGGACAAGTGAAGGCAGACATAATGCAGTTGATGCAGCACGGCAGTTGACTTGTGAACCCGTGATGGCAAGGTGGGCATGCAGAATGTTCACTCGACCGGGAATGGTTGCTTCACAATGGTAGGCTGCGGCCTTACAATGAATTACGTGGTCCCAACATGAGCGCCGAAGATCAGCCACATCAGATCAGACATGCAGTGACATGCAGCTTGTCATGCGCACCTGAATTTGCTGGGGGCCGATAATATCCGACAATGGACTTGCTGAAAGAGACAGAGTTGGAATGCAAGGCAGCAATGAGCACCATAAAAGCCTCAAAAGTCTCGGAACTGGTTTCGAGGCCCCATATACTTGGTAGATTGCTTGGTAGTTCTTGGTGACCTGCTGGAGTTGGCAAGTTCCCGAACATCCATTGGTAGTCATAAGAAGGGGTAAGTATGGTAACTCTCTTGCAACCCTAACTATAACTACCCATGAACCTCCAAGTACGTCCCAATGTGCCAAGGGTGTCCTTGGCATGGTATGTATCCTCAACCTACTCACCCTACAGATGCCAAGCAAATCGTGCAGACATGTCCTGACAATGCACCGTGAAAGTCGGATCCGTAGTACTTCTACGGATGCTCGTCGACGTTGCCCGGCACTTAAATCTGAAGCTGAAAGATGCGCCAGGGTAGCGCAAGGAATTGAGGAGGCTGGGACACCCCAAATACATTCGCACCACAGCCTATGGGAGACAGAGAGACAATGTGCAGCATGGTGATCAATGCCAATGATGCCAAAAGTCAGTGCTGTGCTGAACCAGGTTGGCTTCACAGCGCTCTTCGCCACAGGAAAGATAGCGGGTTCATGAAGCCATTCACGGAGGATGGATGGAAATGCCTGAGCAACTCTGCCGCATAAAAAGCAAACACTACGGCATCCATGAGTGTGGCTGGCATCGTGAATTGAAGGGGTGGATGTTGGAGTTGCTGGCTAAGGCAGGTTGAACAAGCCCCCTTCGCATCGCACTTAGCCCTTGCTATGGCTCGATAATGGCAATTTGAAGTGCTTTTCCTTGCCAGCATTCTCAGCATGCCAAGGGGCGACCGCGGCCTTTCAGCAGCCTTCTCGCAGAAATCTGAGCCTTGACTCATCGACATCGCGAGGGATGGAAGCAAGCGCGAGAGACGTGACATGCCATGACGGGAAGAGAGACCTATTTATAGGTACGTGGTTACAGTTGGTTACTGGGTCGACAGGGCGGTGAGGGAGTGCATGGCACCTTTGCTTGCCATACCCCTGGACGCAAGGAAGAGGTACTCACTTGCTGTAGGAGCTTTTGCCCAGACACGCACCGAGACTTAGTCTGAGGGGTAATGGTGCCTTCAACCACCGTCACCGTGACAGCGCATGACGGCCCGACGTGCTGAGCACAGGGAGAGGCAGCCACGGAAGTCAACACATGCCAGCAGGGTGACACCAGTGATGAGTAGACACCAATACAGCAAGCAGCACAAGGGTCAAGCAGCACCCAGTACAGATTTCAAATGCGACACAGGCCACGAGAGTCTGATGCACCATATGGCGCCCAACCAGCTGACACATAGTCAGTCGCAACAAAAAAGTCGCGTGGATATCTAGTTAGCTGTGTTGATGTCAACAGGCTGGATCATGATGCAGATGATTCGCATGTGGGGATAGATCCAGAAGCATCTAGCTGTCCACAATGTTGTCACGTTTTGGACTGTACCTGTGACTCGCCTGTGACTCAAATGTTTACCACCCAACTGCCGCTTGGTCAGAAGTGCTGAGTATGTCAGTGGGGTTGAGGTTTCCTCGAACGAGGGTTGCAGAACAATGTCTTCCTTGGAAAGCCTTGCCGATGCTTGCATGCGGGACTTGAAAGCCATTGTAGTCCACGTGCGTTGATTTGTCATCTCACCGTGGGGTGTGCGGCCGACGCATCTTCGGCCTGTTCCTAGCACATCGTCATGCAGTAGTCAGTTTTAATTAGTTTGCCGCGTTCCGCACTGGACATCGACAAACTCAAATCACCAAGGAAAATGACACGGACTTGTCGGAGAATGGCATTCCCTGAGAGGATGTGCTGCGTTGTCTTCTGGCATTCTGGCTGTGACAGTGGCCTTCAGGGCATCACTGGAAAAGATAGGTGCCTGACTTCTGTGTTATTTGCCACAGTCATTTGCCAAAGAGGTACTTGGCCCAAGGCACTCGGTACACGCTTGCATCTGTACAGAACGGCCATGATCTCAAGAAAAAACGGATTGGTGTGAAGTTTGCTTTTGCCAACTGCAGCACTGGCCACTTCAAAGGCAAAGTATTAGCAACGGCCCAGAACGAAATGCAGGCTGTAGTGAATCCTTGTGCGTGCTGCTTCCTTGATGCAGGTGAAGGACTCTGAACAGGCAGCTTGGCGGCGTTCTCTTGGATTTTTTCCTCACAATTTTGCAGCAGGTTACGGGTGAGGGGGGGGTGACAGATATGATTTCGGTTGCCTAAGTCATGCCTTGCCGGCCGCCTGAGGCAACCTTGAACTTCAAAGATGATGCAACGTACACAGGCTTGGCTTTGGCGCTGCGAGCATGGCATCATGCAGTCTGGCTCATAATGCGTTGCTTGTTCTCAGCATCAGCCAAGCATCTCTGCAGGAGGGGTTGTGGACGGGAAGCGTGACGGATACGGCTTCTTGGCTGCACCAGTGCTGCACTTGTCTCCGACATTCTTTGTGGCTAGACGAACAAGGTATATAGGTCACCGAGCTCGACGCACAAGTAGGCTTGTCTCAAGCAGCAAGTATCTTTCGCAAGCAGCACATCTTGAGCCAATGAAGTTGGGCTTATCCTCCGTCTCCCAAGTACGATGCCGGACGAAGTGTGCGTTCCCTCAAAACCACAACAACCGCAACCACGTTGACATCATCATCATCATCATCATCAACAGCAACAGCAACAGCAGCAGCATCACCATCAGCAACAACAGCAGCAGCAACAACAGCAGCAGCAGCAGCAGCAGCAGCAGCAGCAGCAAAAGCAACAACAGCAAAAGCAACAGCAGCACTACAGCAAAAGCCAAAACAGCAAAAACAGCAACAACAGCAACGGTAGCAACAACAGCAGCAACAACAACAGCAGCAGCAGCAGCAGCAGCAACAGCAGCAGCAGCAGCAGCAGCAGCAGCAGCAGCAGCAGCAGCAGCAGCAGCAGCAGCAGCAGCAGCAGCAGCAGCAACCACAGCAACCACCGCAACCACCGCAACCACCGCAACCACCGCAACCACCGCAACCACAGCACCCACAGCAACCACAGCAACAAGAGGAACAAGAGGACCAAGAGGACCAAGAGAACCACCAACCGCCAACCGCCAACCGCCAACCGCCAACCGCCAACCGCCAACCGCCAACCGCCAACCGCCAACCGCCAACCGCCAACCACCAACCACCAACCACCAACAACAAGCTATGCGAATTCAACGACCAACAGCCAACAACGATCAACACACAACACACGACACACGACACACGACACACAGACACACAGACACACGACACACGACACACGACACACGACACACGACACACGACACACGACCGACGACACACGACCGACGACACACGACCGACGACACACGACCGACGACACACGACCGACGACACACGACCGACGACACACGACCGACGACACACGACCGACGACACACGACCGACGACACACGACCGACGACACACGACCACCGACACACGACACACACACGACACACACACACGACACACACACGACACACACACGACACACACACACACACGACACACACACGACACCACACACACACACACCACACACACACACGACACACACAACACACGCACCAACCACACACACCACACGACCACAGCACACACACACACACACACACACACACACACACACACACACACACACACACACACGACACACACACACTACACACACACACACACACCCACGACACACACACCACAACACACACACACACACACAACACACAAACCACAACACACACACACACACACACACACAACACAAACACAAAACACACACACACCAACACACACACACACACACACACACAACACAAACACACAAAACACCACACCAAACACAAACACAAACACAACACACACACCCACACACAAACACCCCCACACCACACACAAAACACAAACACAACACACAAAACACCAAACACAAAACACAAACAACAAACACAAACCATAACACACAGCGACCCCCACCCACACCAAAACAAACACAAACACAACACACAACACACCACAAACACACAACCACAAACACCAAACCACACAAACACAACACACAACCCAACAAACAACACAACACAAACACCAAACACACAAAAACAAAACACCAACACCACACACCACAACACAAACACACAAAACAACACACACACAAACACCAAACCACAAAACACACAACACACAAAACAACAAACACACCAACACACACACAAACAACAACACACAAACCCAAACACCAAAACACACAAACACAAACACAAACAAAAACAAACACAAACACACAAAACCAACACACAAACAACACACAACACACCCACAACACACCACAAACACACAACACAAACACACCACACAAACACAACACACAAACACAACAAACAAAACAAACACAAACAAACACAAACACAAACAAACCACAAAACAACACACAAACACAACACACAAACACACAAAACACAAAACACAAACACACCACAACACACACACAAACACACAAACACAAAACACAAACACAAACACCACAAACACAAAACACAAAAACACAAACACCACACAAACACACAACACACAAACACAAACACACACAAACAACACAACACACAAAACACACAACACCACAAACACAAACACACCCACACCACACACAAACACCAACACACAAACACACAAACACAAAACACACAACACACAAACCAAACACAACACACAAAACACAAACACAAAACACAAAACACAAACCCAAAACAAAAACCCAAAACCAAACACAAACACACAACAAAAACAAACCACAAACACAAACACAAACACAAACCACAAACACACACACACCCCACACACACACACACACACACAACACACACACACACCAACACCCCACGCCCCCGCCCACGCACCCCCGCCCGCCCGCCGCCCGCCGCGCGCCCGCGCCCGCGCCCGCACGCAAGCGCGCACGCCCGCACGCACGCACGCACGCACGCACGCGCGCGCCGCGACGCGCCGCGCTCGCCGCCCGCACGCACGCACGCCGCACGCACGCCCGCACGCACGCCGCGCCACGGCCACGGCCACGGCCACCGCCACCGCCACCGCCACCGCCACCGCCACCGCCGCAGCAGCAGCAGCAGCAGCAGCAGCACCAGCAGCAGCAGCAGCAGCAGCAGCAGCAGCAGCACCAGCAGCAGCAGCAGCAGCAGCAGCAGCAGCAGCAGCAGCAGCAGCAGCAGCAACAGCAACAGCAACCGCGGCAGCAACAGCGGCACCAAAAGCAGCAGCAAAAGCAGCCGCAGAAGCAGCAGAAGCATGGCAACACATCACCGGCTGCAGCCACTGCAACAAAACTTAAACCAGCTACAGTGCAGGCACAGTTCGATGAACCTTTTCCGGTGAACCCTTCGTCGTGCCATTGGCAGAAGCATTGACGTTCTGCTGATGGGAATCGTGGATAATCGTGGGGCAGATGCTGAGAAGCACCACAACACAGTACGGCGAGTTTCAGTGCATCAGAAGCACCTGAGGAACATACAAGAGCCCCACCGAGACGTGCGGCTCTGAGTCGAATTTGTGGGGACCCATCAGTACCAACGGTGCCCAAGCGTACTCAACGGTACCCAAAGTCTCATAGCGCACATGCGCATCTGAAAGCACTGAATCCCAGCCTCAGATGACAACAGACTTTCTCGGCATGCGGGGCATGCAGAGTGCCTGCCGGAATACGTATGGTTGCAAGTTTTTTCACAGTACTTGGAGGTATGAAGGCCAATGGAAGAACGTCTCGCGCTCAGCCGTTGCCTGCATTGTCATCGGCCGGCCATACTGCCTGTCAAAACAGATTCAGCTTTCCCTATGAGGACAAGCAGAATGGAGAAGGCAAACACACGTGGAGCGATGGACGATCATACGAGGGACAGTATGTGCGCCTTGGCGCCAGTACGATTGCTGACTGTGCGAACTCGAAAGCTGGCATCATAGAGTCGTCTTGTGTCAATTTTTCATGAGCTGCCTTGACAGAGGAATGGACGCTTCTCAGGCAAGGGAAAGATGGCCACTCGGTCAACACGTGGGATTCCACCCGGTCATATCCAGTCAGAGAGAGGAGGGGTCCGAGCCTGCCACGCTGGTAAGTTGTTGTTTAAGCTCACGCGGGTGTTAGCGGCCCTGGGTAAAACGCTAGTTTCGGCACTTCTTGGTGACTTCTTGCCGTTTTCTTGGTGGTGGGGGGTGGGGGTGGGGTGGGGGCGGGGTGGGGGGCGGGGGTGGGGCGGGGTGGGGGCGGGGGGAGAGGGGATAAGAACGTCGTTCATATTGCGCCCATGCCCAAAACACTGGTATTTACAGCGTTTTCGCTTCTTTGTACAACATACTGCAGAAGGATGTTGAACAAGAAATCTGTCACAAGCGTCCATGCCTTTCGCGACCACAACCGTGCTTTCCGTGCTTGATGTCTCTGCGCAACCCCAAAGCCCTAAACTTGAACCACTGCAAGCCCGTTGCGCCCTGAACACTCCAGGCCCCCCAAAAAATGCGAAAGGCTGAAAACACTGCAGGGCGCGGCACTTTTCAACATAAGACCACATTGCAGCTACCCCGTTCCATCCTGAAGACTCACAAAACACAAAACCCGACAACGCGCAGACATCGCAAAAACATATCCCCAAAGAAACACTGCGAATTGCTAAAAACGCTGGCAGGCGTGGTACTTTTCAATAACACACCACCTTACGGACACTCCAAGTCCTGAAAAATAACTGCCGCCAAAAAAGCCCCTTTCAATGTGCGAACACTGCCCTGCATGGGTCAAAACCACATTTCCTGGTGCAAACGGTCCAGGGCCGCTAACGCCCGCGTGACCTTGTTTAAGCTTCGCTTTGCAATACGCAGGCTAAACACAAGAGTGAGCTTATCTTGTTTGATGGTTGTTCTGCCAACCTGGTTGCGGGGCGGGCTGACTGCATACAGCTCAGGTCTGGAGAACCGACAAGGCCGGGCAGTATCAAGTTGGACAGCCTCATATGTCTTTGCACATATTGGTCAATTGAAATGATTTCGTTGGTGGTCCTGGATGTGGTTCCTGACAGGGTACGATGATCTACGAAGGACAGGCCTCCTTAGTGGCCGGACAAACTGTTCAATGCCAGGGCCAAGCAGACCCCAATGAGTCAACCGGTCACGCATGGGCTTCCGTTTGTAACTGGCACCGTGATGCACAATAAGAGGGCAAACAAGTGCCACATACCTTGAAGTACAGGAGATTACTTGGATGATGCCAAGCATGGCTTTGGCAAGTTCACGTGGCCAAACGGCAATGCGTCTTTGCCGAATAGGTTTTAGTACAGTGTGGGGGCAAACCTTTTTTCACAGCAGACCGAAAATGCTTTGAGTTCTGGTCACTCAGGTTTATGAGGGTGGATGGCAGAATGGAAAGCGGCATGGAAAAGCGACCTTCACTACGCCCGAATCTCAGGGACGTGCGATGGAATGCATGAGTTGGGCAGGAGAGAGTTGCGTACAACGTTGCCTTGGACACGCAAGTCTGGAGGTCCACTGGAAAGCAGAAGGCAAGGCCTTCCAACCTACTGCTGACTATATATAAGCAGACATGGTGGCCGTCGGGGGGGTTGTCAGCGAAACCTGGCAAAGGGTTTAAAGCAACGCCTGCAAGCCAAGAAGATTAGAAACGGCCAGTTTGCGCGAACAGTCAGCGAGTCGACTGTAATGAAGAAAAGACACGCTTCGCCTTTGTCTACTGAGCCCCATGATCACAGCACAACTTCTTAAACTCATGGTTGTATCTTAAACTCATGGTTGTACATTATTGTATATCATCCGTTGCGAGTTTGCCACCTAGCTGGACACCTCGAAGCGTAATCTTCTGTTAGTGGTCTCATCTATCCGCGGTTCCAAGGCTGGATGCTAGACTGATACCCTGGTTGCCTTCTCGTGGGTTGGGGCTCTCCATCATTGATCGGGGGAGGGTGTAGGGCAGATGCCTCATGCATTGTCGAGCAACGCCACATGCCAAATAATCAACATTCTGACCCACTTTACCATTGTTCTGGATACAATTGGAATCTTTAGTTGTGCGAGGATGCAAATGTCGCCGTGCAAGTTGTGCATGTGTGTTCTTGGAGGTGAGGCAGTTGACAAACCATCCATAATGAGAACACGTTTAATGTAAGATGTTGATGGAGTGCTGGTATGACGATCTTGCTGCTAAGCTGCTAAGCTGCTTGGAAAATGCACAAATGTGAGAGCACCTCATCACTGCGCACAAGAGGTGGGCTTCTGGCAAGACGACAAGTTCGTGAGGTGGGAGGATGATGATGGGGAGCCATCTCAAGCATGATGCCGAACGTCAAGCGACTGAACTTGGGCCACTTTGGCAAAAGTGTGGCCATCTCTTGATCGTGACTTCTCTGCGCCAGATGCTACCGCAGCAGAATGCCTTGCAGCTAGCCCAGGTGACAAGCCCCCGAAGAGGGCTTGCGCTTAGCAGTCGCGCTCGTGTCAGAAAGTTAGAAGATTGTTAGAAGCATCATTGTGGGACAGGCATGAACAGCAAAAACGTGCTGTCTGCAGCTACGCCTTTTGTCATGCCCCGCGTGCACTATGTGCGCTGTCTCTGTGCGATGGTGACGCTTGTAGGCGTGCTTTGAGCTGCCTTGTTTCACTGCAGAGAAGCCGTCTCACATGGTGTGCTAGCATTCTAGCTTGCGGACCATGAGCTACACATGCACCATCAAAGAAGCTCATTTGCATCTTGAAGCCGCCCGTGCCAAGTGCGTGGGTCTGCTGTGAAATCAAAACAAAGTTAAAAGCCGGCTTTGACACTTCAATTCAAGATCCTGAGTGAGCCGAGTCGAGGTTGCTCTCGGCTCCGTCGGCACAGCTCGAGAAGTATTTAGAACAGAAATGTAGACACCGCAATGGCGAGCAAACCCCAAACCCATCAGGTTGCAGTACCATAGAGGCGAAGTGGAATGACATATGCGATGCACTGTCGACGTGCTGACCGACTGTCCGTGAAAGACTCGGGGTTATGCGAAGAGTCGTTTGTGATCATGAGCGAAGATCCAGCCCAAGTACTGCGCGTGCTATGCAACGCCAACGATGGCAAAGCAGCAGCTGCGGTACAACACTCTCACATGCTATAGTTGTTATTTTCATAAAGGCAACAGCCGTAGATGTATACACCAACTAACGGTGTTTGATGGCGGAGATTTTCCTTTTCATGTGACGGACTTTGCTCCAAGAGCCAAAGTGCCATGGCCGAATCACCAAGCAGGTGAGTGACTGGGTAGAGGGCGCCTCGAACACTTGAGCATGCTCGGACGTCCGCTCCGAAGAAAGGGCCACCGATGAATGTTAAGCTGTTGAGCAAATGTGCACGGTTTGAAGTGTCAGTTGCAACCTCAGCAAGCACCATGGGCTTGTTAAGTAGTACCCTAACAGGTGGAATGGGTTTGTTCTCTTTACGTTCAGTTATGTTGTCGTTCCCTTGGCGAGCGATAGTACAAAGACTCGGCTTCCCTGATCACACTGTCGATAAATGATAAATGCCACAAATGCCGTGGGTGGCAACATCCCCTCAGTTTGCGGGGGGTCTTAAATGGTGACCCTTCGGTGTCAGGGAACCAGGGGTCTGAAATGGGTCCAGAGGCATTTTAGACCCTTCCCGGCTTGCCCATTGCAGACCTGTCGGTGTCGCGCTCTTTGGGCCCGGCTGTGGGTTGTCTTAGCCATGTTGCAGATTGCAGTCCATAGCCAACAAAAGGTCTAAAATGGTTTGCCCGGGTTATGCCCAGTCCCTGGGAAATAGCACAGTTGGGGCCTAAAATGGGCGCCCTAGGCCCCTCCCCTGACAACCTGAGGGCGTGTGGCAACTGTAGGCTTGCTTTCCTGCCAAGCTCCTATCTGATCACACTGGAGCTCGCACAGCATGGCATCACGTTGTTCCTCGTGTGCCTGGAAAGCGTCAGCGGCGTTTGTGAGAATGAGAATGTCATGATGCAGTTTAGTATAACTGTGTCTGGTGATGCCTTCCACCGCTTACTTCACGGGTTCATGGAAGATGGTTAAAGCACAAATGTCGGCAGTAGTCACTGACAGCTTGGAATAAAACGCTATGTAGCGTTGAGCTTTTGTTCTGATGAGCTTAAATGCGGCCTTCTTCGTTGGCTGCTAGGTATGCTAGTATGCCATGATGCGACGCATATGTCTACATCCCCTGCTGGGCCACTGGTCGATGTCAACATGGCGGATGGCCGAGAAGCAACGCGGTCGTTGCGCAAGCATATCAAGATGCAAGGCCGCTGCACGAAGCGCACAGTTGCTTCTGCATGGTTTGTCGTAGTACCGTAGACACTGGGGCTCGGTAGGGCTCGGAGCTGGCTCGTACCTTGATTGTGCAGGACCTAAAGCAGCTATTGACGGCCTGCGGCGCATGGTGCATCATGCACTTGAGGCCTCGCCTTCTCACAAAGAGAAAATGAGGTGACATGACGTGAACCAACGCCCAAGCAATAGGCGTCGTTGCTCAGTGCAGGATGCAATGTCAAGCGCTGTTGGAATTTGTTTTTGCAGGTGAACGTGATACACTGCAATGTCGTCATTTCAGCATGCGCCGCCGCGACCGACTGGTCGTCAGCATGGGGCTTGCTGAGCCGCATGCGCACTGCATGGGTTGAGGCAACAATCGCCAGTTTATACCTCAGAGTCTGCCCATCATCTTCGCAGTGGCCAGCAAGCCTAGCCTGCTGTGCCGTGAACCGAGGTTACGGTGGCGTTGCTGCGAGTTTGAAACGCGGCTGGCCCCGAGCATTAGCCTTGCACGAAGCTTTGTCGCCGTCCGGCCTTCGCCCGAGCACAATCTTGATGACATCCATCGCAGCCGGGCTCCAGCAAGGCTGGGAGACTTCGACATGTATGAGCCTCATAGCTATCCGATCCAAGTGCAGGTCTTCAGTGGCAGCGATCTCTTGCGTTGGGGGTGTTGGACCGTGCGCTGCCACCTAGTGTGACTCTTGGATACTCTTGGCACCGTGAAGTTTGAATCGTTCCCATTCGACAGGACGGAGTTTCTCAGTTGCCACACGTTGCATGACGTTGCTACAGTATACTTTCAGTACAATAGCAAAGTCTCGGGCGCAATGCGCTGGCTTCACGTCGAATTTGGCTGCAGAAGGCTTGTGCCACCGATGCGCTCATGCTTCTTGGACCCTTCGAACTCAATACACATTTGTGCTACAATTCCACGAAAATCCCTCAGCTTCCCGACTTCCCGCGCCGCCGTACGCGCCGCAGTCCGCTCTCGCGTCCCTCCGGCTCTGTCCTCCAGTGCTACATTTGTACTAAAATTCAACGAAAATCCCTCAGCTTCCCGCGCCGCAGTACGCGCCGCAGTACGTAGATCCCCTCAGTTTGCGGGGGGTCTTAAATGGTGACCAGGGTCAGGGAACCAGGGGTCTGAAATGGGTCCAGAGGCATTTTAGACCCCGGCTTGCCATTGCAGACCTAGAGCCTTGGACGTGTCGCGCTCTTTGGGCCCGGCTGTGGGTTTTCTTAGCCATGCAGATGCAGTCGCCAACAAAAGGCCTAAAATGGTTTGCCCGGGTTATGCCCAGTCCCTGGGAAGTAGCACAGTTGGGGGTCTAAAATGGGCGCCCTAGGCCCCTCCCCTGACAACCTGAGGGGATGTACGTAGTACGCGCCGCAGTCCGGAACACATTCACGTTTTCATCCCCGCAGGCGCCGTCCCGTTTCGTTTTCGCTCCGTCCCGTTGCGATTCCCGCGCCATGCCCGTTTCATCTTGGGATCCCCGCGCCATCCCCGTTTCGTTTTCACCCTGCGGCTCTGATCACCCGTTTCGTTCTCATTCTCATCCCTGCTTCGTTTTCATCCCCGTTTCGCTTTCACCCCGCGTCGCCATTCGTGGGTATCGCTCTCTCGCGTTTTGAACCTAAACGAGAACCCAACATCCGAGATGTTTTTGGGAAAAAAGAAAGTCTTGGTAATGGCTTCACTCCCACAAAGTGCAAAAACTTTTGAACTCAGTTGTCCATTGTCGGATGAGTGTTTGATTGAACGATCCCAAAGCCCCCCAGACATTCCAACACCAGAACTGTTTCTGTGCTGAGCAGTGTGGCATGCAGCACCAAGAATGCGCACTGGTGGGTTTGGAAGTCTTGCTGAAGCAAAGGATCTGCCAAAATGCAGTTGCATCTGCCTGTGCAAAAAGTTTCATCTGGTCGGCAGCACTTCATATTCTTATGGGCCAGCCTGGCACTCAGAGCAACGAATGCTAGTGCTTTGGTAGCACTACAGCATCAGAAGTCATTGCGCTGAAGTCGGTGTTTAGAGGCCACGGCACTGACGGTGAATAGGACTTCAGTTGTTTGCAGTGGCTGCCAGGAAGGAAAAGCTCATGCAGCCGGATGCCAGTTCAGTGGGGAGCGCCACGGATGCTTTCACCAATGCAAGAATGTGGAGAAGCGCGTGTCTTGGCATGCGTGAAAGCCTCCAAGTTGGGGCAGCAGATTGCAGCCAGCTTGTGCGAGAGTGAGCGTCAAAACAAGGATTACATGGCTTCGAAAAAGCAGTTTTTCGAGGGTCGCGTTGGAGTCGAAAGGAATGAAAGATCAATTGCGAATGCAAGGGGGGGCTCAGTTAAAGAGGGTGGCCTAATGAACTGTTTCGGCCAGTTTTCGAAGCGGTAGAAATTGAAAGTTTCTTCAAGAATTTCTTCCACTTGCACGACATTGACCAAGTGAGGTTGAGAATCCTGCATGGAATGATGGACCTACAGATCCGGTGCCATCAGATTGCTTACAACTCTGCAGCGAGCGCATGTGTCGCCATGCGAGAGTGGAAAGAGGTCAGGACATTCGAGCAGCCCGTGTGCAGTGAACCTGTGCGCTGTTTGGCCAGGTGTTGGGGGTGCTCAGGGATATGGCTCTGAACTTCGCAACCTTGAGCACCAGGAGCACCCGGGCTTTCTGTTTCAGTGTGAGTTTTACAAAGGATCATGTATTAAAGGCTGAGCGAGCAGATTCTGCCTCTGCACACGGCAAGAGTCAAGGCTTCAATGCGGCGATCTGCGCTTTACCAAGCACTGCCAGGTGGCAACACGCAGCTTTACTGATACAGGCCATGAGCGATTCCTTTCTTCGGGCTTCAAGAGTGACTCAGCTTTCTGCAAGGCCTTATCCAGAGATGGCTTGAAGCCAAGCACAGTGTCCTTGAACTCTCACATTGATGCTTGTGGTGCCGACTGGGCGCTGTCAGTCGCCATACTGGACATCGCACAAGCCGCGACTATTGTACCTGAAACACGGCTTCACATTTGCAACCTAAAGACGTAGGCAGAGGCCGGGAATGCGTCGCAATTAGCGGTACGAGCGGGCAAACTGCAGCCACGTTGCATGCTGACTTTTGGTTGCACGTTTCAAGGACCGGCTAAGCTGCAATTCGGTTCTCAGCGCGTGCTCCAACTACGAAGCGTGGCAAACGTCTTTGTCCATTGTCGGCCAATCTCGCCAGCACAAGTCTGCAGATGTCGTTGGCTTGAACTCGGCGCCTTGTCATGGCAGCAAGCCTGTGTAATCTAGAGTACGCTTGGCATCGGCTTCACGGATGACACGCTGGGACATGCTCTTTCTCAACTCGTCCCACTGCTCTTAGCGACCGCTGAGGCCATGCGGGCATGCAGGCGACATTGGGAAGAAGCTTTAAACCTTTGCTCCGGGCTCTTGCCAAGAGCTGTGCGGCCCAGACGCCGGTCGCAACACAGAGCACACGCTAGCACAAATGACGAAACGTCCCACCTGCTGTGAGACGTTTGCTGAATGTCGCTTCAAGTGAAAGAGTTCATGCTTTGCCAAGGCTCAATTACTCTGAATACAGCTTCTTGGCATGATCTCGGCCTATCGTGGTATGTTCACAGCTTCGCAGTCCTGCCAGATGTTTTGAGGTGCTGAGTTCATGCGAACAGTGTGTGCGGTGGCTGCAAGCGCTTTGGGTTCTGGGCAGTTGGCGCCGGCTGAGGACAGATTTGTTACTCCTTTCTTGCAGTAACCACTACAACAGACGGCGGACGACCACCCTTAAGCAGCCTGCAGCCAATTCCCATGTCACAGACCACAGCATGCGGAGGCATGGCAGCGAACGGCAGGTTAATCAGCTCTTTGTTTCCGCCGCGGTCTGGCGATTTGACTCTTGGGGCTGGCACGAAAAACGTGACAGCGCATATTCTCGGAGACGCCCATCGGATCCCATCAAACGCATACTTAATCTAGCGGAGCCTTGAAGCTATCCCCGGAGAGTGCAGGACACGCCAAGACGTGATCTCCTACAATTCGTCCATCAGCGCATGTGAAAGCAGCTGGACAATGGGTTTACAGTGCTTATCGGCAGTGCTGCAGCAGCAGTTGCTTCCAGACCTGGTGACATACAATGCTGCTTCCCACTCCAGCTCCGCGGTATCCTGGAAATCGAGCCTGACGTGTCACAGCTTGTTTAACCACTCTTTGAACCCAACAGTACATTGCGAGCGCCCAGGGGGTCCGCTAATTGATGTTGCCCCACTTGCCCCACTTGCCCCACTTGCCTTTCCAGAAGAGCTAATTGATGTTGCCCCACTTGCCCCACTTGCCCCACTTGGTGGCCCGGAAAAGCTAATTGATGTTGCCCCACTTGCCCCACTTGCCCCACTTGCCCCACTTGCCTCAGGAGTAATCCCTGCTGCCTGGGTAACTGGGGCAAGTGGGGCAAGTGGGGCAAGTGGGGCAAGTGGGGCAAGCGCCCCCCCCCCCCCTCGCCTCGCCGCGCCACAAGTCTGCCTCAAATCAGGCTGCGTTTGAGGCAGACTTATGGTTGTAGGGCAGGCCCTAGCCAAGTAGAACCTTGAGTGCTGTTGGACCCTAAAATGACCCTAAAATGACCAACCTAGCCACACGTCTGCCTCAAATCGGGCTGCATTCAAGGCAGACCTGTGGCTGGGGCTGGTTGGGGGCAGACCCCAGCCAAGTAGAACCTCGAGTGCTATTGGACTCGGACAGACCCTAAAGTAACCAACCAGCCACAAGTCTGCCTCAAATCTCGCTGCAATTGAGGCAGACTTGTGGCTGGGACTCGTTGAGGGCATACCCTTGCCATGTAAAACCTCAAGTGCTATTGGACTCGGACAGACCCTAAAATGATCGGGCGGTGGGGGGGGGCGGGGGGGGGGGGGGGGGGGGGGGGGGGGGGGGGGGTGCCCCACTTGCCCCACTTGCCCCACTTGCAGGGTGGGCTGGGGTAGGAGGGGGGCGAGTGGGCAAGTGGGGCAAGTGGGGCAAGTGGGGCAAGCGGGGCAAGTGGCAGAAATCACTTAGCGGTTAAGGCAGGGCAAGTGGGGCAAGTGGGGCAAGTGGGGCAAGGGGGGCAAAGTGGTTTTCGGTAAGGGAGCACAGCAAGTGGGGCAAGCGGGGCAAGTGGCAGAAATCACTTAGCGGTCCCCGTTTGCACGCGCACTGCAACAGTATCTTTTTGGTATCTCTGTGTCTGTGTGTGGTGCATTTGTATCTGCAAACCCGCTCAAGGATTTTCAGCGACCTCAGTCACACTTGCAATCTGTCGTACGATACTGTCGGCTGTGGCACGGCGCTGGCTGCTTGCAGTTTGGGCTTTAGCTGGACTGGCGCCTTGCAAGTCCTCTTGGACATGAACCGCCACATGTTGCATGCCAATGCCTGGACCATCAGCTCAGCAGTGAGCAGCTGTGAGAAGAGCCTGAGGCCTGCGACAGCACTGAAGGCACCACTTCCACATCTCGTCAGTTTTCAGAAGGATCCCGAACCCCGCTTCTAGCAGCACATGCCTCTCGAGCTACATTGACTGTACATCACTGTACCATACTGTACCCACAAGCAGCTTTTGGCGCATCTTGGCATCATCTTGGCACGGGCACCACTGTTGAGCCCTGATGGCAACTCGGGCTGCGAACTGCGTCGACGAGGGCAGGTGTGGCTACTGCCAAGGAAGGTGATCGAAAGCGGAAAGCAATGAAGCTAAACGTCCCAGCAGGGCGCGGAGGCCAGAATATGTTGCCGAGGAACAGCCGCCCGGAACGGGGTCGAACGCACGCGCGACTTCAAGAATGACACTGCAGTTTGCCGGGCAAGGAGGGGTGGTAATGTGATGTGTGATGATTGTTAGTGCTTTCGCGCTGACACAACTTGTGCAGCCATGATCAAAGCATGCCTGAATGTACAGCTCAAGCTTGTCGTTCGGGACCCCTTCGGGCTTTCCAGGTGTTGCGAAAACACTCCCGGATGCGAAAAAAAGCAAGTCGCTGAGGCATGTGGTGCTCGAAACATTCGCCGTTGCGATTTCGCTTGAAAACAAGACTGCCTGTCCCGAGTAGTCTGGGTGAACTTCGTTTTTGTGTGTGTGCTCCAAGGATGTAGGTGTTCTTTGTTTAATGTCATAAAGCAGAGGCGTGCAGCACCTTTGGCATACTGCACGCAACGAAG